GAAAGAGACAGGTGGCGTGGAGACAAAGAGAGTGTGAGAGAGACAGTGGTGGCGTGGAGAGAGAAGAGAGAGAGAGTGAGAGAGACAGACAGTAGCGGCGTGAGACAGAAGAAGAGAGTGTGGAGACAGTGGCGACGTGAGACAGAAGAAGAGAGTGTGAGAGAGTATGGCGGAGACAGAAGAGAGTGAGAGAGACAGTGGCGTGTGGAGACAGAAAAGAGAGTGTGAGACAGTGGCGGCGTGAGACAGAAGAGAGAGTGTGAGAGAGACAATGGCTGTGTGAGACAGAAGAACAGAGAGAGAGAGTGAGAGACAGTGGCGGCGTGAGACAGAAGAAGAGAGTGAGAGAGACAGTGCGGCGTGAGACAGAAGAAGAGAGTGTGAGAGAGACGTGGCGGCGTGGGAGACGAAGAAGAGGGAGATTGAGAGACAGTGGCGGCGTGAGACAGAAGAAGCAGAGAGAGAGAGTGAGAGACAGTAGCGGCGGGAGATAGAAGAGTGAGAGAGACAGTAGGCGTGAGACAGAAGAAGAGTGTGAGAGAGACAGTGGCGGTGTGAGACGAAGAACAGAGAGAGAGAGAGAGACAGTGGCGGCGTGAGACAGAAGAAGAGAGTGTGAGAGAGACAGTGGTGGCGTGAGACTGAAGAAGAGAGTGTGAGAGACAGTGGCGGCGTGAGAGAGAAGAGAGAGAGAGGAGAGAGACAGTAGCGGCGTGAGACAGAAGAAGAGAGTGTGAGAGACAGTAGCGGCGTGAGACAGAAGAAGAGAGAGAGTGAGAGAGACAGTAGCGGCGGGAGACAGAAGAAGAGAGTGTGAGAGAGACAGTGGCGGCGTGGAGACAGAACAGAGTGTGAAAGAGACAGTGGGGCGTGAGACAGAACAGAGGTGTGAAAGAGACAGTGGCATGTGAGACAGAAGAGAGGTGTGAGAGAGACAGTGGTGGCGTGAGAGAAGAGAGTGTGAGAGAGACAGTGGTGGCGTGAGACAGAAGAAGAGAGTGTGAGAGAGACAGTGGTGTTTGAGACAGAACAGAGTGTGAAAGAGACAGTGGTGGCGGAGACAGAAGAAGTAGAGAGACAGTGGTGGCGTGAGACAGAAGAGAGAGTGTGGAGAGAGACAGTGGTGGCGTGAGACAGAAGAAGAGAGTGAGAGACAGTGGTGGCTTGGAGACAGAACAGAGTGTGAAAGAGACAGTGGTGGCGGAGACAGAAGAGAGTGTGAGAGAGAGACAGTGGTGGCGGAGAGAGAAGAGAGAGAGAGTGAGAGAGACAGACAGTAGCGGCGTGGAGACAGAAGAAGAGAGTGTGAGAGACAGTGGCGTGAGACAGAACAGAGTGTGAAAGAGACAGTGGTGGCGTGAGACAGAAGAGAGTGTGAGAGACAGTGGTGGCGGAGAGAGAAGAGAGAGAGAGGAGAGAGACAGACAGTGGCGGCGTGAGACAGAAGAAGAGAGGAGAGACAGTGGCGACGTGGAGACAGAAGAAGAGAGTGTGAGAGAGACAGTGGCGGCGTGAGACAGAAGAGAGTGAGAGAGACAGTGGCGGTGTGAGACAGAAAAAGAGAGTGTGAGAGAGACAGTGGCGGCGTGAGACAGAAGAGAGTGTGAGAGAGACAATGGCTGTGTGAGAAGAGAGGAGAGACAGTGGCGGCGTGGAGACAGAAGAACAGAGAGAGAGAGTGTGAGGGACAGTGGCGGCGTGAGACAGAAGAACAGAGAGAGGGAGCGTGAGAGACAGTGCGGCGGTGGAGACAGAAGAAGAGAAAGAGAGAGCGAGCGAGGGCCATTTGTATCACTCCGGGATGGTCTCAGGCAGGCACCGCTTGCGCGTGTGTTTAAACAAACTGACTTACAATACTAGAGTAACCTGTGTATATGTTGTATAGTGTATATATTTATTGTATACTGTATATATGAGAGTTTCTATATTGTATATGTGTATATATATTGTATACTTAATGTGTGAATAAGTATGTTTGGTTATGTTTACGTCTTTACACGGGCTAACCTAACCTAACACCACACCACACCACCAGCACTACTTACACCCACCACCGGCCTGCCTCAATAACTAACACACACACACACACACACACACACACACACACACACACACACACACACTTTCTTTCTCTAATCATCCACACATCTACCGCGCGTCGAATCATTTCCGTGGGACGTTTAGATCGTGTTGAAGGCATCTTTAGCTCGTTAAGTGGCCTGGAGGAGGAGGGATGGGGATGGGGGGCCGGTGGGGGACGAGGAGGAGGGATGAGGCTGAATAGAGGAGGAGGGATGGGCTGGATGAGTGGGGAGAGGGAGGAGGATGGGGCCGAATAGAGTAAGAGAGAGGGGGATGGGGCTGGATAGAGTAGGGAGAGGGAGGAGGGATGGAAGGATAGAGTAAGAGAGGGAGAGGGAGGGGATAGAGGAGAGGGAGGAGGATGGGCTGAATGAGTAAGAGAGGGAGAGGGAGGAGGAGGTGAGAGGGAGGGGATGAGGCGAATAGGAAGAGGGGGGGATGGGATGAGAGAGAGGGAGAGGATGGGATAGAGTGGAGGGAGAGGGATGGGGCTGATAGAGTAGGGAGAGGGGGAGGATGGGGCAAGAGTAAGAGAGGGAGGAGGGATGGGGGGAGGTAGGGGAGGAGGAGGATGGGGCTGATAGAGTAGGAGAGTGAGGAGGGATGGGGCCGGATAGAGTAGGAGAGGAGGAGGATGGGGCCGGATAGAGTAGGAGAGTGAGGAGGGATGGGGCCGGATAGAGGGTAGGAAGGTGTTAAAAGTTTACGTCGGGTTCCATGTTGTTTATATATGATTCTCTTGTTTGTGTTTTAAAGGCTAACGTGTTGTTGATAGGTCATTCACGGCCACACAGTAAACATCGTAAATTTATATTCGCTTTTGGCTCGTATTTCCAGCACGACTGAAGCACATTAACTCTTAAGATTTACAGAGGCTCATGCAGTGGGTATTTGAAGTGACTGAAGCTGTAAGAATGCACGTGATAAGCTGCAGAATGCCGTAAGCTGTGAAACGTATAGCTATGCCCGTGATGTAAGAATGCAGAGACTAGAATGGATAAGCTGTGAATGCCGTGTTGCTAGATGAACGTATTGTTGTAGATGATTGTAAGAATGCACGTGATAAGCTGTACGAATGCCCGTGTTAAGCTGTAAGAATGAACGTATTAAGCTGTAAGAATGCCCGTGATAAGCTGTAAGAATGCACGTGACAAGTTGTAACAAAATGTCATCTTATGGAATAAATTATGTTTGTGTTTACCTTTACTCTAAATATTCTCTTGTTCTAATTGGGTTTTGTTTTGTTCTGTTGCAGATGTATATGGATTTACCAGTTGAATAAAGCCTTGATTACTGAAGGTGTTTGATCTCACACGACAATTTATTCAACTCATAAATCCATATACATCAACAAGTAATGAAAGTGTTGTTAAATATACGGCATCAAGAGCTGCACCCGGATTCTCAGATGTTCTTACGTTCAATTCTTCTCGTATCTTCTTCTCACAATGGTCTGAGAACTTACTTCCTTGTCAACATGCACGCCCTGTCCTTTCACATATGCCAGTCCAGTTGTTGGGGAGCTCTTGCTCATCCATACATCTGCAGAACAGGATTTTAAGGGGTTCAACACGCTCGTTGCACAACTTTTTAAAGTCTTGGATGCTCTGGGACTGATATATCAACTCATATTCTAATAGCAACATGGAACGCATACTCTGCCCCGACAAGCTTGATGTTGATCCAAATTCCCCAGCTGCTGAGAAGGAATACAAGCATTGGCGTAAAACTTTTGAAAACTTTATTGATTAGTGTGGAGACAGAGCGCCTGACAAACTACGATGTTTGATAAAATATGTGTCTGCTACTGTGTATGAATTTTTTGCTGATGCTACGGAGTTTGAAACCGCGATACAAGTGTTAGAAAAGGTATATGTTTAAAAGAAAAATGAGATATTCGCCGGACACCAGCTCGCCACAAGACGTCAGCGTCCTTCCGAAACACTGGATGAATTTCTTCGCGACTTGCACAGACTCGGCAAAGATTGTACTCTAAAAGCTGTCACGGCCGAAGAATATCGTGAAGAGTTAGTATGGGATGACTTCATCAACAGACTGTCTTCTGCAAGTATACGTCAACGTCTATTGGAAAATCAGGCTCTCACACTCTCTCAAGCCTTTGATCAAGCTAGAGCCTTGGATCTTGCACAGCGTACTTCGGAAACCTTCCAGCCACTAGGCCCTGTCATTGCAGCAGCTTCAGGATGTGTGGAGGAAACGTTTAGGTCACCATACACTAATCAACAAGATATATATCCAGATGAGGATTCAACACTTACAAGTATGACCACTAAAAAACGATGTTGGTTTTGTGGTGGCAGTCTTCATTTACGGGCGAGATTTCCAGCTAAAGATAGTGATTGCTTTTCATGTGGAAAAAGAGGGCACTCGGCAAAAGTCTGTCAGACTAAGGGTAAGTAACAGGTCACGGCATCAATTTCATCTCCTACCCTTTGTGCCATCTCAGCTGCTGTTCCTCATTGCCTGAATTGCTCTGCTACAAACTTGAAGGTAAATGGAAGACGAATCTCCCGCCTATTGGTTCGGTAAGTTCTGAGAGTTTCATTGACAAGAGAGTGACCTATCGGCTTAAGCTTCACATCAACCCGTTTCCCAAAGTATAACCCTGGCAATGTCTTCTTCAATGGCTTCTGTGATAGGTGAATGTACGGTGGATCTCTATATGAATGACAGCCATCCTCAGTCACCATTAGTGCTATCAATAATTATTATTTGTTTAATATTAACAAATACCTGCCATGAGTCAATATTATTATATTATTATTATTATTATTATTATTATTATTATTATTATTATTATTATTATTATTATTATTATTATTATTATTATTATTATTATTATTATTATTATTATTATTATTATTATTATTATTATTATTATTGGTTTTCTCCTGTAGGTGGAACTTCACGGACTTCTTCCACTCTTTCATGATGATCTTTCGTATCCTGTGTGGAGAGTGGGTGGATTCTCTGGGACTGTATGCGGGCTGAGGAGAAGGACGTGGTACAGACATATAGACAGACAGACATTGGTTCAACATATACAGTACATTGACAGTGCTGGTATAGGATTGTTTTCTAGATCGACGTAAACAATAACAGCTCCATTTTGACAACTATGGGTCTGTGGTTTGGTCTGAAATTTATCATGGTGGCTTAAACTTTCATGCTAATCAAACATAGCTCAAAATAATTACGATTGACAATGTTACTCAATGTTGCGGTCAGAAAAATTTCAAAAGTAAACAATGTAGACGACATACCTACAGTGACGTTATCCTGTCATTTAGGAGACCAACTGAAAAAAAAAGTAAATAACAATAACGTCACTTGAAATATTCTTATATTAACAGTAGGTAACATTAAATCACTTTATTCAAGGATAATCAAGGAAAACGGAAGGATAATTAAGGAAAATGTTAAAATCTTCCATTTTTTTCTGTAAATTACGAACGCTGCTGGTGGTGGTGACGTAGGGCTCTGAGACGTGCCTGGCTATCTTTCTGCCGGCGCTGGTCATGGGCAACTTTATGGTGCTGAATCTCTTCCTCGCTCTCCTGCTCAACTCGTTCAACTCCGAGGAACTCAAGTCTCGTCAGGACGACCTCGAGGACGAGTCCAGGGTACTTCAACTCTTCGTCAGATTGAGGGTGAGTCTCTCTCTGAACCACTCTAACAAGCTACAATCACTATAAAAACCCACAACCACTAGAACAACCCATTATAATCCATCAGTCTCGAGGATAAGGTACTTCCATTGTCCTCTCTATCTTGTAATGGATTTACTGGTTTGGACTGACTCATCTCTAATAATGCTGGACCTGACTCTGATAACCTACGGCCAACTAACCCACTCTTTTGTTTCCTTAGGATAGTATATGTCGACTCAAGAACAAGAACAAGAAGAAGAAGGAGCCAGCGGAAGAGGTTGAAGAAAAGGTGGAGGAAGAGGAGAAGAAGAAATCCCTGGAGGACGTAATGCCTGAGAGAGGGGTGAAGCAGGCGTTCAGTGAGCCAGAGATGCATACACGGTGTGAGGAGGAAGACGCCAGCACTGATCCACAGACCAAAGGATACAAGCGAATGACCATTGTAGGTGAGCATCAGGGGTCACAGTACCGACAGGTGACCATTGTAGGTGAGCATCAGGGGGTCACAGTACCGACAGGTGACCATTGTAGGTGAGCATCAGGGGGTCACAGTACCGACAGGTGACCATTGTAGGTGAGCATCAGGGGGTCAGCAGTACCGACAGGTGACCATTAGGTGAGCATCAGGGGTCACAGGTACCGACAGGTGACCATAGGTGAGCATCAGGGGTCACAGTACCGACAGGTGACCATTGTAGGTGAGCATCAGGGGTCACAGTACCGACAGGTGACCATAGGTGAGCATCAGGGGTCACAGTACCGACAGGTGACCATTGTAGGTGAGCATCAGGGGTCACAGTACCGACAGGTGACCATTGTAGGTGAGCATCAGGGGTTACAGTACCGACAGGTGACCATTGTAGGTGAGCATCAGGGGTCAAGTACCGACATGACCATTGTAGGTGAGCATCAGGGGTCACAGTACCGACAGGACCATTGTAGGTGAGCATCAGGGGTCACAGTACCGACAGGTGACCATTGTAGGTGAGCATCAGTCACAGTACCGACAGGTGACCATTGTAGGTGAGCATCAGGGGTCACAGTACCGACAGGTGACCATTGTAGGTGAGCATCAGGGGTCACAGTACCAACAGGTGACCATTGTAGGTGAGCATCAGGGGGTCACAGTACCGACAGGTGACCATTGTAGGTGAGCATCAGGGGGTCACAGTACCGACAGGTGACCATTGTAGGTGAGCATCAGGGGGTCACAGTACCGACAGGTGAGCATCAGGGGTCAAGGTTAATTTAAATCAGGAGAACACAGATCAAACTCTAAGTGGTACGTATAAATGTCTGCTTAGGTTAGTATGAGTTGGGTTAGATCAGTTTACATTAGGTTGGTCATATTAAGGGTAGGGTAGGTTTGGAGGTTAGTGAATGGCAAGACAAACTCCATATATCATAGCTGGTAGAAGTACAGTAGTTGTTTAAGGTAGGTGTGTGGAAGACGTCATATGAGAGGAAGGGATTATTTTAACTATTTTTTCCCTTTAAGAACAGAGATAAAGATGTCATTTGGTCCTATAGGGGGGTACAGTAGTAAAATATAAAGATGTCATTTGGTCCTACAGGGGGTACAGTAGTAAAATATAAAGATGTCACTTGGTCCTATAGGGGGGTACAGTAGTAAATTATAAAGATGTCATTTGGTCCTATAGGGGGGAACAGTAGTAAAATATAAAGATGTCATTTGGTCCTGTCGGGGGTACAGTAGTAAAATATAAAGATGTCATTTGGTCCTACAGGGGGTACAGTAGTAAAATATAAAGATGTCATTTGGTCCTATAGGGGGTACAGTAGTAAAATATAAAGATGTCATTTGGTCCTATAGGGGGGTACAGTAGTAAAATATAAAGATGTCATTTGGTCCTATAGGGGGTACAGTAGTAAAATATAAAGATGTCATTTTAAAACAGAAGAATGTATTTTGTCTTAGGAATTAAGTATGGATATGTCACTGTCTTAGGGTATATACAGTAGATGTTACTAAGTGAAAAGACCAAAAGATTTTCATGTTTATTTGATTCACTCATGACAGATGGTAAGGTTCGTCAATAACAGGGCCTCCTCTACACCATAAAACACATTAATATTTAGGAAGGTTAGATGAAAACACTCGATGTTATGAGATTATAATTCAACATTCTGAACCTGTTTTTTCCAAGATTAGGATATTTTTTAATAATTTCTCTGTGGTGTTTAGTTCTTTATATTATCATTAAATTATTAGGAATGTTGTTTGGTTTCAAGTTAGTCATCTCGCGTGTATGTACTTTACTTGTATCTCTCTCTCTTGCATCTGATTTTCTCTTTTTGCATCTCAAGTTTTAAATCATCAGAAATATCTCACCGTGGCTTTTATTTTGCCGCCTTGACACTCTTCAGAATCCATTATCTGTATTTCTTTCTTGTGTCATTCCTTCCCCTACCTCAATTCAGACAAGAACAACCGCAATTCGAAAGTATCTCGACTGCCTCAAGAAAACGGACACAAGGACAAGACTAAAGTAAATGGAAAGAGAGTAAAATTTCAAGGTAACGACACACAAGTAGGCCATAGAAGATATGCTATATAGGCAGTTAACTGTGAATGTCCCCACTTCATATAGCACAGTAAATATAGCTACAACTATATGGTTCACTTAGTAATACTGTATTTAAACTAGACATGTAAATTTCATCAAAGCTTTATTTTTTTTCATTCTACCAAATATTTTTGTTTAATTATTATTGTGTAATTTTGTTTTTGTTTTTGTTTTTTAGTGTTTTTGTTACCCTAATTTTTTTCTTTAGTTTTAGAAAGAAAGAAAATTATCATTGTATTTCACTTGATCACCAATAGAATTTGTTCATATACATTTCTTTAACCATTTTTTTTTTATAATGTACCTACCGTAAGTTACTGTATAGACCCTCGGCTAATTTAATACCATAGGTGTGTTTTTGCCGGCATATCACCCACTGTTGTGTTCATTTTTATTAGCATCATTGTCCGTCAACCCTTTCTTTCTGTGCCTTGTTATCCTATTTAAGGGTTGTATTGTTGAGGCTGCAAGGTTCCACAACACAGCATAATGTAAATGCTTCCCCTCCACTTAAGTATTGGTCATGTGTTTTAGTTGTCATTGGGGGTAGTACAGTTTCACTTCCAGAATTAGTGTTAATCTGAACAGTTTCATGTGTATTGGCATTTTTACCTTAGCCTTAATAATTGTCATTTGCTGTCATCACAAAGATCCATCTGTGAGTTTTTTTGTTTCTCCTTGGCAAGAAAGATGTTTTGTAGATAAGAACGTCACCCGGGATGCATGGAGCCCTGTGATGCACAACTCACACCAACACAGGAGATACGGTGTTTACATGTGTTGTTTTAAAACGGATGATGTGTGATATAATTAAGGTTTAAATCATGTTTAATATCCTTAGGAATAATTGTGCCTCTGTCCCTACCATTAGTGTAAACCCTTGCAGTAATATAGTCCAGCTAAACCTTGCTCATGCCGTGCACAATAATGGAAAAGCTTGTAGTAAAATTTGTATATCCAGTAAAGTCCCAAGGCCAAGCAGTATTGATTTTCATAATGACTATTTTGTTTTACCTTTCACATATTGTTTGACAGTACCTTATAGCTCTGTATGCATAATGGATATTTTTGTCATTATCTTTATTTTTGACATAAAGATATGGACCATAATTTAAGTACAACACAAAGATCTTCAGTTTGTGCAGATAGTTCTCCCTTAATCCCTGCTCCTTTGGAATGATTCTTACAGTTTCTGATGTGCAGTCAGTAAGTTTGGTGTTCCCCATAAAACTCTCTGTGGATTATAAGATCAATTTGTTGACATGACTTTAACATCAAGTCATGGAGCCTCTTTGTCATGTAGTTTCTCTTAAAGTGACAACCAAACTTTTAAATTGTTGAAGTGACCTTCCTATATATTACTGTGCTTTCTCTTGACCAAATAGCTCAAGTAAGGTGACTCCTGTATTATTTTGGTAGTCAAAATTGATTGCCAGTCCTCAAATTGTCAATTTATTGTATATATATATAAAGGTTGTTGATTAAGAGACCACTTCACAGGTGATGACGACCGGCCAGAGATCATCGAACTTTCTGATTTCAACCAGGGAGAGCCACAGTTTGCATTTTGTTCCCGGGTACCTTCACATCACGAAAATGGGGACCAGGAATACCCTGAACAACAGTTTCGAGAATACCCTTCAAGTGAATACCGGCAAGAATACCCAGTTAGAGAATACCCACAAGATTACTCGAATGAATATGGACATGAACATGATTACCACCAGTTGCAATTTCCAGAATCAAACTTGTCTGAGGGAGAAGCATACAATAATGAGGACAGTGTCTCAGAGGTCAACTTGTCAGATGGCAACATTCCCAAAATGAAGTTGGATGAGGTAAAACTTTGCTGTAGTCGTTCAGAATAGTTGGTTTAGGCAGTTATGTTTGTACTGGATCGATAGATTGATAAACAATAATCTGAATTCAAATTGAGGTTTATCAGCTACAGGGTAAGTAATTGAAAATAGGTCATTCAGTAGTTAAAGATGAATAGATGTTTATTCAGTTAAATCATCATAGCTAGATTGCGCAGGTATAAAAACCGTATATTGTACATAGACAGTGCAGGTATACAAACTACATTATAGAAAACAATAAATTAGTTTAACCAATGTTCAGTCAAGAAAGCCACAGCAAATTGAGTGATTTATTGGGGACAAGCAAATAGCTTAATATTTGTAACTGGCCAGTACTGTACATGTTGAACTAATCTGCTGGTAAGTATATGTGTACAGTATAGTTAATGATCAACAATTTCACGGATAATCGATAAAGGTTTAAAAATGTGGGTAAAGTTTCAGTAAGTAAAGTGACCAATACTGGCACATGTTCAAGTATATTCAAGAGGTTTTGCATTACTCAGTACTTGTGTAATAAAGAACTGACTGGCCACCCGACCACCTACTGAGATAAGTGGTGTAGAGTTGACTGGATCCATAACTGAAGGTAAGTTATTTGATGACTGCCTGACTAACGGATGAGTGTTGGAAGTCACATCATCACCAGATAATGTAAAGAGTCCTTGCTCCTTTAAGGTAAATATTGTGATAACTTTACTGCACTGTACTGCATAAGAAAGGAAGAGAACAAGGTGTTGGTGAAGCGGACAGAAGGTTTGTGAGTCGTGTGGATTGTAGAAAATTTTAAATTATGACAATAAATTAGATAGACAATAAACAGGTTTTTTTTTTTTACGGGAATTAGCCCACCCTGGCACAGGTCACTGATCCACGTCGGGGCCTGAGGGGGCGAAAACGTAATAATAATAACAATTATTCACAGTAAATAAAATTTATAATGAAATAAAAACAAAATTGAAAATAAAATAATAATAATAATAATAATAATAAAGAACCATAAAGAAAAAAATAGATCAAAAGTGAGAAACAATATATGTATGTTGTGTTGTCCAAGTACGAGAAACAATTGACACCCTACAATTGTTGGTAAGTGAGGCAGAAAGTCAGATCAGCAACCTGGGACTTGGTCACATATGGCAGCAGGGTCTACCATTAGACAACACATTATGCTTCCAATATCTTCCCAGTCGGTAGTACCTCCCTGTATATATATTTTGTTTTACTTTTTATATGACAATTTATAATAAATAAATTTAACTACCGGGTAGTTGTTTAACTTGACTAGAAGCAGTAATAGCATGAAATTTATACATATTCAGATTTTACCTTTACTAATTTTTGAATGCATTATCATTGTTATCACCTAAAGTGCTGTGCTTTTTCTTCACAATTAAAAAGTTTAGTAATTAGCTAATCATCTTTACTTCATATTATAACAATTCTAACTAGAAAATAATTGTCACAAACATAAAGCCTTTTTGCATGTTTGGAATTAATAATGTGCATTTTCAGAATTCCTTTATCTCTTTATTTTCACTAAAATATTCAGGAATCTTTATAAATTCCCACCAGTAAGAAATTTATAAATATCATTATTTAGGGGCAGTTTGTCCCCCTCCCTACCATCTCCTCCACCCACCACCTGTATGCAACCAGCAGACTTGAGTTGCTCAAAATTAGCCTTGCCTCCCCCACACCCCAGATGAGCTTCAGTGACCTACACCGGTCAAGCTCTAAGGATATTGACGGTTTTCAGGAGGTGAGCTTCGATCCCAAGGCCAAAGACATTCATGGCGAGCCTAATGGGGGACCCAAGGGGAAACACTGGCAGGTGAGAGGTTGTGTACGTCATGTCCTCAGTAAGCCATGACAGATATTACATTTGGTGTTGGTTAAAAAAAAAAACACAAACTAAGAAAGAGAGGCCATTATGTCACAGTGGAAAAAATATGGTGTGTTTCTTTCATCTTGTTCTTATTAGTAGACTTTAAGTTCTGAGTTGACAGAAACTTATCAATTCTTAACTAGATTTTCATATTTATGGTTTGGTTTAGTAAATTATTATTATTATTAGCTGATGTAAAGAGTTTTATTATTCTGCGTTTCTTATTTTGATCACAGAGGGAAAGGAATGTCAAGAAAAAAGAAAAGAAAAAGAAAAAAAAGTTGTTGACTTTGGTTAATTCATGAATAGGACAGAGGCTTGGGATATACCAGAGTCCAAATTAATAGTTTCAAATTGAACGATAAAGACTAGAAAATAAAGACTACAGTATACCATGTGTGGGAATTGGGCTATACCATGTGTGGGAATTGGGCTATACCATGTGTGAGAATTGGGCTATACCATGTGTGAGAATTGGGGGAGGTGTTATGTGGAACTTGCGTATCTGTCATTGTATCATATCTAACATCATTTATAGAACACAACTAATTAGAAAAAACTAAGAATCCCCTTTTGAAATTGACTCCAAAACACAAGATTTCCTATATAAATGGCAGCCAAGTATGTACTGAAGGTCACAGGTATATTTAGTTATTTTATTTTCAAGAGGATATAGTCCGAGTTTCCTTTGTTTTCAGGCAATTTCTTCAGCAATGGAAGTTGACGTAAACAATCTGATGTTTATGTGTTATTTCACTTAATTAGTCTACGTAAGGTGTTATGTCCTGACTGTTAACACCAGTGTCTCATCCATCTTCCTCACCTGACACCTGTATCTCATCCATCTTCCTCACCTAACACCAGTACCTCATCCATCTTCCTCACCTAACACCAGTACTTCATCCATCTTCTTCACCTGACACCTGTATCTCATTCATCTTCCTCACCTAATACCAGTACCTCATCCATCTTCTTCACCTGACACCTGTACCTCATCCATCTTCCTCACCTAATACCAGTACCTCATCCATCTTCCTCACCTAACACCAGTACCTCATCCATCTTCTTCACCTAACACCTGTATCTCATTCATCTTCCTCACCCTACCTCATCATCTTCCTCACCTAACACCAGTACCTCATCCATCTTCCTCACCTAACACCAGTACCTCATCCATCTTCACCTGACACCTGTATCTCATCCATCTTCCTCACCTGATACCAGTACCTCATCCATCTTCCTCCACCTAACACCAGTACCTCCTCCATCTTCCTCACCTAATACCAGTACCTCATCCATCTTCCTCACCCTAACACCAGTACCTCATCCATCTTTTCACCTGACACCTGTATCTCATTCATCTTCCTCACCTAATACCAGTACCTCATCCATCTTCCTCACCTAACACCAGTACCTCATCCATCTTCCTCACCTAACACCAGTACCTCCTCCATCTTCCTCACCTAATACCAGTACCTCATCCATCTTCCTCACCTAACACCAGTACCTCATCCATCTTTTTCACCTGACACCTGTATCTCATTCATCTTCCTCACCTAACACCAGTACCTCATCCATCTTCCTCACCTAACACCAGTACCTCATTCATCTTCCTCACTTACTTTTATCCTCTTCACCACTGATTGGCTCGTTAGCCTCTTGGGCGATCGGTCACGTCTCTGTTACACACTGTTGGCAAGTACTGGGCATGCACCGGCTCCTGAATGTACCTGAACCTGCTCCAGTGTTGGTCAAGTCTTGTCTTGATAGAGCTCACACTCAGTGCCGTCACAACACTTTCTGGTAGATTGTTCCAAGAGTTCACAACTCTCACTCCGAAAAAGTTTGTGCCTCACAGTTTTCTGGACTTGCGGCTTCTTCAATCTTGAGCTGTGACCCCTTGTGGGGCAAGCGTCCGCCAGCTCCAAGTAAGGACACTCGACTGAGTAGTGACCCTTGAGATGCTTATACACCTCAATCAGGTCACCCCTTGCCCGTCTGTAGTATAAGCTAGGCAAGTTCAGGCGCTCCAATCTCTCAGGGTAGCTGAGGTGCCGAAGGGCAAGCACCAGTCTGGTGGCCCTCCTTTGAACATTTTCAACCAACTGACAGTCCCTAGCATATCTCGGGGACCAGACGGGGTGACAGTACTCCAGAAGGGGAAGCACTTCACTCTTGAAGATCGTTACGAGGGGCGGACCGTCTAGATATCTGAACGACATTCTTATAAGACCCAACAATTTATTTGCCTGATTTACCTTCTTCTCGCAATGGCCCGAAAACTTCAACTCATTGTCAACATACACACCTAGGTCCTTCTCACATCCACTCTCAAATAGTGCAGTTTCTTCATCCCGTTGGGACATATGATACGCCTCCTTTCCGTTGGTACGCCCCAGGTGCATCCTCTTACACTTCGTGACATTGAATCTCAGCAGCCATTTCTTCGACCAATTTTGGAGCCCACAGAGGTCCTTCTGCAGCTCTTCACAGTCCGCTTGGTTCTTGATTTCCCGAAATAACTTGGCGTCATCGGCAAACATTTGTATGAAGGAGTGTACAACGTCAGGATTGTCATTTATGAAACAAGCAAACAACAGTGGGCCCAATACACTGCCCTGTGGTACCCCTCTTGTGACAGGTACGGATGATGATTTCGTGCCATTAATCACCACACATTGCTTGCGGTCATGGAGAAAGTCTTCTAGCCACGCTAGGACATTTACCCGAATTCCGTACCCTTCCATTTTGATTTTCAGCCTTTCGTGGGGTACTCTGTCGAAAGCCTTGGCAAAACCTAGATAAATATTGTCGATATTATTACCCCGTTCCAGAACATGGGTCCAAATATCCAATACCTTGAGCAATTGTGTTAAGCAGGAGCGCCCCGGCATAAAACCGTGTTGGCAATCCTTTACAAGGTTGTTTCGTAGTAGAAGTTCCATCGCGGCATCTCTGATAATACTCTCAAGTACTTTACATATTATGCTGGTCAGGCTCACCGGTCTATAGTTGTTCGTGGAGTGACGATCGCCCTTCTTGAAGATAGAACTAAAATAAGCCACTTTCCATTCACTGGGGACCTTTCATTCATCCAGGATCTTCAGGGGCTCGGCAAGCTCGTTGCTCAACTCTTTTAGCACACTAGAAAACACCATGTCAGATCCGGGACTCTTATGGACCTTTAGCCTGGACAGTTTATTTCTAATACCCTCTTCTGTGAACACAATGTGGGTCAGTACTGTGTCGAACTGTCTGTCCTCAAACGCAGGAAAGTTAATCGCATCCTCTCTTGTGAACACCGAGGAAAAGAAAGCTCACCTGACTCCATTACCTCATCCATCTTCCTCGCCTTATACTAATACCTCAACCATCTACCTCACCTAACACCAGTACCTCATCCATCTTCCTCACTTAATACCAGTACCTCATCCATCTTCCTCATCTAATACCAGTATCTCATCCATCTTCCTCACCTAACACCAGTACCTCAACCATCTCCTTCACCTAACACCAGTACCTCATCCATCTTCCTCACCTAACACCAGTACCTCAACCATCTTCCTCACCTAACACCAGTACCTCAACCATCTTCCTCACGTAACACCAGTACTTCATCCATCTTCCTCACCTAACACCAGTACCTCATCCATCTTCCTCACCTAACACCAGTACCTCATCCATCTTCTCACCCAACACCAGTACCTCATCCATCTTCCTCACCTAACACCCAGTACCTCCAACCATTTTCCTCACCTAACACAGTACCTCATCCATCACCTCACACTACAACACCAGTACCTCATCCATCTTCCTCACCTAACACCAATTACCTCATCCATCTTCCTCACCTAACAGTGCTTCAACCATCTTCCTCACCTAACACCAGTACCTCATCCATCTTCTCACCTAACACCAGTACTTCAACCATCTTCCTCATCTAACACCAATTACTTCATCCATCTTCCTCACCTAACACAGTACCTCATCCATCTTCCTCACCTAACACCAGTACTTCATCCATCTTCCTCACCTAACACCAGTGCCTCATCCATCTTCCTCCACCTAACACAGTACCTCATCCATCTTCCTCACCTAACACCAGTGCCTCATGCATCTTCCTCACTAACACCAGTACCTCAGCCATCTTCCTCATCTAACACCAGTACTTCAGCCATCTCCCTCACTAACACCAGTACCTCAACCATCTTCCCTCACCCTAACACCAGTACCCTCAACCATCTTCCTCACCCTAACACCGGTACCTCATCCATCTTCCTCACCTATCACTAATTACCTCATCCATCTTCCTCACCTAACACCAGTACCTCATCCATCTTCCTCACCTAATACCAGTGCCCTCAGCCATCTTCCTCACCTAACACCAGTACCTCAACCATCTTCCTCACCTAACACCAGTACCTCAACCATCTTCCTCACCTAACACCAGTACCTCAACCATCATACTAACACCAGTACCTCATCCAGCTCCTTTACTACTTCAACACCCATTTTCGTATCTTCCTCACCTAACGCAATACCTCATCCATCTTCCTCACCTAACACCAGTACTTCATCCATCTTCCTCTCACCTAACACCAGTACTTCATCCATCTTCCTCACTAACACCAGTGCCTCACATCCATCTTCCTCACCTAACACCATTACCTCATCCATCTTCCTCACCTAACACAGTACCATGCATCTTCCTCACCTAACACCAGTAACTCATCATCTTCCTCTTTTCTTACCAGAGCGCTTCCAACCATCTTCCTCACCCTAACACCAGTAGCTGTCATCTTCCTCACCTAACACCAGTGCCTCATCCATCTTCCTCACCTAACACCATTACCTCATCATCTTCCTCACCTAACTTTTAAAGTACCTCATCCATCTTCCTCACCTAACACCAGTACCTCATCATCTTCCTCACCTAACACCAGTACCTCATCCATCTTCCTCACCTAATACCAGTACCTCCAACCATCTTCCTCACCCTAACACCCGTGCCTCAACCATCAGCTGCCACCTAACACCAATTGCCTCAACCATCTTCCTCACCTAACACCGAGTACCTCATCCAAATATTACCACACTCACCTAACACCTGGCCTCATGCATCTTCCTCACCTAACACCAGTACCTCAGCCATCTTCCTCCACTAACACCAGTGCCTCCAACCATCTTCCTCACCTAACACCAGTACCTCATCCATCTTCCTCACCTAACACACCAGTACCTCAACCATCTTCCCTCACCTAACACCAGTACCTCATCCATCTTCCCTCACCTAATACCAGTACCTCATCCATCTTCCTCACCTAACACCAGTACCTCATCCATCTTCCTCACCTAACACCAGTACCTCAACCATCTTCTTCACCTAACACAGTACCTCAACCATCTTCCTCACCCTAACACCAGTACCTCATCCATCTTCCTCACCTAACACCAGTACCTCATCCATCTTCCCTCCACCTAACCTGCCAGTACCTCAACCATCTTCCTCACCTAACACCAGTGCCTCATCCATCTTCCTCACCTAACACCGATGCCTCATCCATCTTCCTCACTAACATAGTACCTCATCCATCTTCCTCTTGCCTAACACCAGTACTTCCAGCCACATCTTCTCACCTAACACCAGTACTTCATCCATCTTCCTCACTAACACCAGTACCTCCATCATCTTCCTCACCTAACACCAGTACCTCATCCATCTTCTTCACTAACACCAGTACCTCAACCATCTTCCTCACCCTAACACCAGTGCCTCAGCCATCTTCCTCACCTAACACCAGTACCTCATCCATCTTCCTCACCCTAACACCAGTGCCTCAACCATCTTCCTCACCTAACACCAGTACTCCCATCCATCTTCCTCACCTAATACCAGTACCTCATCCATCTTCCTCACCTAACACCAGTACCTCATCCATCTTCCTCACCCTAACACCAGTACCTCCAGCCATCTTCCTCACCTAACACCAGTGCCTCATGCTCTTTATACCTAACACCAGTACCTCAACCATCTTCTTCACCTAACACAGTACCTCAACCATCTTCCTCACCTAACACCAGTGCCTCATCCATCTTCCTCACCTAACACCAGTACCTCATCCATCTTCCTCACTAACACCAGTACCTCAACCATCTTCCTCACCTAACACCAGTACCTCATCCATCTTCCTCACCTAACACCGGTACCTCATCCATCTTCCTCCACCTAACACCAGTACCTCATCCATCTTCCTCACTAACACCAGTACTTCCAACCATCTTCCCTCACCTAACACCAGTACTTCATCCATCTTCCTCACCTAACACCAGTACCTCATCATGTACCCTCACCTAACGCAGTACCTCATCCATCTTCCTCACCTAATACCAATTGCCTCAACCATCTTCCTCACCCTAACACCAGTACCTCATCCATCTTCCTCACTAACACCAGTACCTCATCCATCTTCCTCACTAACACCAGTATCATCCATCTTCCTCACCTAATACCAGTACCTCATCCATCTTCCTCACCTAACACAAATTACCTCGTATCTTCCCTCACTTCAACACCAGTACCTCATCCATCTTCCTCACCTAATACCAGTACCTCATCCATCTTCCTCTCCTGAAACACAAGTGCCTCATCCATCTTCCTCCACCTAACTACCAATTACCTCAACCATCTTCCTCACCTAACACCAGTACCTCAACCATCTTCCTCACTAACACCAGTACCTCAACCATCTTCCTCACCTAACATCAGTACCTCAACCATCTTGCTCACCTAACACAAGTACTTCATCCATCTTCCTCACTTAACACCATTACCTCAACCATCTTGCTCACCTAACACTAGTACTTCATCCATCTTCCTCACTTAACACCAGTACCTCAACCATCTTCCTCACCTAACACCAGTACCTCATCCATCTTCCTCACCTAACACCAGTACCTCAACCATCTTCCTCACCTAACACCAGTACCTCAACCATCTTCCTCACCTAACACCAGTACTTCATCCATCTTCCTCACCTAACACCTCCTGTATATACAGAAATGTAATTTTATTAGTTATCACTATTAGCTATAATATTACAGTAAGCCCTTGTTATTCGCAGGGGTTAGGTTCCAAGGAATGGCATGAATAGGCAAAACCGCGGATAGCAACTTCTACTACCTTAGTGCGCTTCTCTATACCTATACCTGCAACCGACCAGCTGCAGCAGCATTCATCCCCTCCTTTAACTTATCTAATAATTCAGCTTTCTTTGTCAGAGTCATCACTGACTTCTGCCTTTTACATTTCACTCCACTAGCATCACTAGCACTGACGCTAGGCAGTCTTTAAGGGGCCATTTTCACACAGAAACACTAAAGTTTTGAGAGTATAACACGAGAAGCTGCCTGGGGTGACTCGTTGTGCTGCGGGAAAAGGTTTGCCAGCGAATCTTCGAAATTGCGAATCGCAAACCAGCGAATGGCAAGGGTCTACTGTATACTAATCCTTCCTCACTTACTCACTCACTGAAAGACTTTTTAGATTACAACTATTTTGGATCACTCTTGTAGCTATGTAATAATTGTTCTTTTTATTAATTTCAAGACATCATCATTTGTGGGTATGTGTGTTTTGTTGGTAGGCAATCTCAATGACAGCTTCTACGAGATTAGAGTGTAGATACGTTTTTCCTCTTTATTTCTTTTTTTCTTTTTTGCACAACTGTATTCTATCTCCGTCAGGCTGTCAAGAACTCAAAGGAAGTGAAGAAGACTCAGTACAAGAAACCTGCAGTGACTGATGAAGTATTGTTGTTTTTTCCTCAACTCATTTTTAGTTCAATGATATCATGACATGCTATATTTTTTTATGCTTTAAAGGATGCTTCCTTGGTAGACAGGGATGGGCTGTTGCACTCGTACCTCATCTTGTATGTACTGTATCTGTAGTACAATACTGTATTTGGCTAGATGCTGCTGAGAGATTGTGTGTTGATCACCATGTCTCCCCCACAATCCCTACAGACTGCTTATGAAAATTCTTAATGTTATCCATTGTAATTTATATGTAGTGAAAACAAAAATTATGAGAAGGATGAAATTGAAAATGACGGTATTGATTGATTTATTTATTTATTTGTATTTTTTTTAATTTAGACTTGGGTGGAGAGCCTAATGTTTGACAGTTTCTCTTTGTTGGAAGTTAACAGTTTGTGTCTGGTTTTTACACAGAGATGTATAGATACTCAATGTGTGTGCATAAAATTTGCTAATAGATGTTACTTTAGTTTACTTGTTGTATGTACTGTATGATTGCTGTATGCAGTACAGTAATATAAATAATTATGTCACTACGGTCATATGAGAAGTACAGTATATTGGTGAATAACGAAGTATTGATTAAATTACTGGTTATTATCTAATACTTGTGCCAGAGTGATTATAAACATCTGGCATGAATATCAAATTTCAAGAGTTATAAAGGGATATGGGTCACGGTTCCTTTCAGCCACCCTGTAGTGTATTAGGGAGCCTCATTGAAAAAAGAAATAAAAAAATAGGTCTGCCAATCTGAAAACCAATCACCAGTCAAATCAATTAATGACATTTTTAAATAGCTGTGTAATTAGTTTTAGAGATTACAGTCCCTGGCAGTAGATTGAGTGGCATGCAGTCGTTGTGGTAGGTTAAAAGATGGTAAGGAATGGATTAAGTGTTGCCTCATCAGAGTGTTAGATACCAAGGTAATCCTCATCTTTCCTTCCATGTTGTCAGGAGGTACTAAGGCTGTACTGTACAGGCAGTGGTAGTAAGGCCCACACAATTAACTTCTTCACACTAGTTATTTGTCACAGTAACAAATCTTCGTTGCCTCTCATCATTACTATTATTATTTGAGGAACACACAGTCCAGCATATCACTCTTGAAAACAGTTATACAGTACAGTACTCACATTGCTGGTAACATTCTGCAAGCTGCATTCACTGTCACTGCCTACAGTCGTAACACATATACTATATTAATATACTATATTAGATCTTGTAATTATAGCCACTTAACTTCCAATCATCTGTCATAACATAAGCAACTTTACCTCCCCTACCTATTACATATTGAGGCAGTACCACATGATGAAAATGTTCCTCTATATTTGTGGAATAATACGCTTGTATGGATCTATGCTTCTGGGCTCCAACTCCCTGCCTCCTCCATTGTACACTTGAAAAATGCATGACGAAGATGCACAACATTGTGCACTCCGAGAGCTTTATTATATTGTGCATGAGTTTGTTTAATATTACTACAGTTGTATATATATATATATATATATATATATATATATATATATATATATATATATATATATATATATATATATATATATATATATATATATATATATATATATATATATATATATATGTATGTACAGTACTGTAGATGTTCTGACAAGACACAATAAGTAGTATGTTGAAAGTCAACATTAATTGTTCCACTCATTCTCTAACACAAGTACACTAGTAAGTGTTACAATAAAAGAGTTATATGTTCCTAATTGTTATCAATAAAATATACCATTTCCTTTGGTTTATTCCTTAAAACATACTGTACTGAATTTAATTATATTGTATAAAATCCTTACATGTATCATTCCTTCCATAGACGGTGAAAAGGGACATGTCAAAAGGGCTGAACAAGACGCAGAGTTGGAGTGCTGTGGTGAGCTACGTGGACACCATCACCGGTGGAGTCAAGGATGACGAGGACCCAAGATTTAAGAGAAGGGAGATTATAGCCAAAGAACCTGCAGACTGTTTTCCCAAGCAAATCTTCAATAAGTGAGACTTTAACCTATTATAGGGATTGTACTGTACTGTACTGTACTGTATCTGCACTGTACTGTATCTGTACTGTGCTGTACTGTACTGCACTGTACTGCACTGTACTGTG